GAAAATAACACGAAGTCCCAAAAGTGTCTCCTATGTAACGACGAACATCAACTTTATAAATGTAATGTCTTTCACCGAAAAGAATTGGCCGATCGATGGGAATTTGTCAAAAAGAACCGATTGTGTTTAATATTGAAATGCCAAACAACTATGAGATGGCATTGAAGCGCCTAGAAGCTATGGAAAAGAAAATGAATAATGACGTTGCGCATAAGATGTGGTACACAGAAAAGATATCGGACTACTTGAAAAAGGGATATGTACGCACGCTTTTATCAGAAGAAGAAAGACAAAAAGGACACAGAACATGGTTTCTGCGACATTTTGCCGTCTGCAACGCAAATAAAAACAACAAGCTGCGACTTGTCTTTGACGCCGCTGCTATGATGAATGGAGTGTCTCTTAATACGAACTTAATGAAAGAACCTGACGCTTACCAGCCCGTACTGTTACCAACAATTTTAATGAAATTTCGTGAAGGAAGCACTGGCATATGAGGAGACATCAAGGAGATGTTTCATCAGGTTGCCATTGGAAAAGATTCGCAAAGATTTTTATGGAGAGATAGCAGTTTACCTGGGTACAGGGTATTACACTGTCGGGCTTGCTCGAGTGTAGCGTTCTCTCTTGTTGCTTCTGCTATGGGCGCATGTACCTCAGTGTCGGAAGTTTACCTGGGTACAGGGTATTTCACTGTCGGGCTTGCTCGACTGTGACGTTCTCTCTTCTTAAATTTATTAAAATACCCGAATCAGTCGCTGAAATAAAATCATATCTCCCAAAAAGACAAGTACTGTCAATTGTCATGTCTATTTTTGACCCATTTGGATTTATCGCACACTATGTTATAAAAAGAAAATTGCTTATACAAGAGCTGTGTCGCTCTAAAACGGATTGGGACCAGGTTATACCCGATCAACTAAAGAATGTATGGAATTATTCCATATACAATGCAGTAAACTCAATACGAATACCCAGATGTTATCATTCGAAATTTTTGGAAAATAATTGCATTATACAATTGCATTGTGACGAAGTATTAGTTGCCTTCGTTTTACGTAAGGCTTCCTGTAGCCCTTTAAAACCGTTATCTATTCCTCGATTAGAACTACAGGCAGTCGTACTGGGAGTTCGCATTAAAGATGTGTGTAAAATTTGGTGTCTCTAGCTCTTATAGCCTCTGAGATCCAAGTGTTCATACGGACAGACAGACAGGCAGACGGACGGACAGACAGACAGGGCTAAATCGACTTGTTTTGTCATGCTGATCAAGAATAAATATACTTTGTTGGGTCTGCCACGCTTCTTTCTGCCTGTTACATTTTACAGCTCCTGCAAACCAAATATACTCTTGTTCATTTCATGTACAGAGTATAAAAATTATTTTTAAAAATTTAATTAATTTAATTAATTAATTAAAGTAAATATAAAATATTCAACATATGCATACATACTTGTACATAAGTGTTTATGTACAATTTCAATAGAATAAATTTACATCAGAATCGTGTCTCTGCGTGTTTATATGCGTGAATATATGCAACACACAGTTGAACCAAAGCAGCAACAACAACAACTGTGGGCAGCGCTGCAGGCAGAGCATTGGCGGGGATTTTATTTATGGCTATAACTTTCTGCAGAATTCACCAATCATGATGAAACTTAACATACGGACACATAATCACTAACTGGATGTAATAACCAAATTTGAATTTAAATAATTCAAAGAAGACAGGAGTGCTAAAGTCGAGCGAGTTCAACTCTTAAATACCCTGTACCTCCCACCAAAAAGGAAACAAGAGAGAACGCTACAGTCGAGCAAGCCCGACAGTAAAATAGCCTGTACTCTCCACAAAAAAGGAAAATTAAAAAAAAAAAATTGAATTATCAAAAAAAAATGAATTAATTAATTAAGTAATTAAAGTAAATTAGAAGACATGTTTTTGTTCAGTTTTAGCAGCATATATTTACATCACGTGCCTATTCGTGTTTATATGCGTGTATGTATGCAGCACAAAGTTGAACCAAGCAGCAACAACAACAACAGCTGCGGGCAGAGGAACAAGCAGAGCATGGGCAGCGATTTTGTGTATGGCTATAACTTTCTTCAGAATTGACCAATCATGATGAAATTAAATAAACTACCAAAATTGATTTCAAAATTCCAAGAATTACGGAATTTATGAAAAAAAACACGAATTGCGGTGGAGGGGGGGTGGGGGGGGTGTATCAAAATAAAAAAACAACCTTGACCTGCCTAGGGCTCAGGGGAACCTGGATACCAAGTTTGGTCATTCTAGCTCTTGTACCTTCTGAAATCCTTACGCTCATACAGACGGACATGGCTATATCGACTCGGCTTGTCACCCTGATCAAGAATATATATACTTTGTGGGGTCTGCCACGCCTCCATTTGCCTGTTACATACATTCGCACAAAACTAGTATAGCCTTTCACCCTTTGGGTACGGGCTATAAAAATTACGGGAGTTATGGAAAAACACGATTTACGGGGAAGTGCATCGAAAAAAACTCAAACTCGTACTTTCTCTGACTTAGGAAAATTTGGATACCAAGTTTGGTTATTATAGATCTTATACTTTCTGAAATCCTTGCGTTAATACAGCCAGACAGACGGACATGGCTATATCGACTCTACTTGTCATCCTGACCAAGAATATATATACTTTACTAGCAGGTATTGCCCGTCTTAACCCGGCTCAATATGTTTCCAATTGTATTTATTTTGTGTGTGCATAACCTACCCATATGTTTTCACCTTAAAGGTTACCAGTAGGAAGGCATTTAAGGTATTTAAATGAACATTTTCTGTTCTTGACAAAAATTAAGTATATAGGCCAAACACGTCCCCGGGAAGCCAATCGAACTGTTATGTATCTGAAAACCTAAATTCTACATTTTAAAATAAGTAGTTTTATTTATATGCTGTATTCGTACATTTTACAGAGTTGTTTTGTTGTTTTTAATGAATATATTTTCGTTTCATATTTGCGTTACGTTAATACATGTAAATTTTGTTAAAATTGCTTACATTTTTACATGGAATGCAGTTAAGCTGTTTGCTTTCACAGTGCAACGGTATCCACTGTATGCGCTACTTATCCCAAAGTACAAACATTACATGTACTTAGATGTTGCAATTTGAATCAATTTGCTAAGACAAATCGTAAAAATTAACAATAATCAAACAAAAACTGAACGGGTAATTAATTCGTGCTAAGTATATTGTAACTTTCCCCGGTTTTACCTGCTTTTCTCGAATCTGAATTAACATTTCGGTACACAATGCATTCAACTTATGATCTATGTTCACATACTATTATATATTTTAAAATGCACTAACCATAGCTTAGCAAAAAATTACAGTATAAATGAATACAAATAATTTGTAAAGTTTCTTAGTTTAACAATTTGCTGTTAATTACTTCCTGTGCATTTTTGAATTGATATTGATGGGAACGAATTCGTTGAAATTGTTGTTATGGATCTAATAAAGGAAAACATTGAAGGATCATATCGAATGTGTCGACCTCTTAACTAAATACATACATATGTGAATTAAAGTTTGTTTTATTATAGAAATTATGCTAAATTGGGCTATACATTTTCGTAAAGTTCGCAGGCCAAATTCGCTTACTAACCGAATCCCTGTTTGTTCTCCGAATTTGTTTTCGTTTATCTACTTTGTTAAAACATAAATGTAGGTTGCTAATAAGTAATTAATGCACTAAAGTAAGTTGGGTAAAATTAGTAAAGCATTTCAAACCTGCTAAAGCACTTTCAACAACATAAAAAGTAAAGTAGCCATTCTTTTATAAATTAGCTCTTGAGCTATACAGTTCTTTTTAAAAAGAAGCAGTCATCAATAGTACAACACAAGGGCTCCAGCTAAATAAGTTCTTACAAAGGTATTTACAAATTAAACATAGACTTAGAGTAAAAGTAGCATTTTTATTTTTGTGGGCATACATATATACAAATATATATATATATATATATATATATATATATATATATATATATATATATATATATATATATATATATATATATATATATATATATATATATATATATATATATATATATATGTTATTGTTTTATTTAGTACATGTGCATACATCAGACCACACAATGGAGCCTCGACGTTGCACAAAACGAGACTAATATTGTAAAAAATCACTTGTTTGAAACTATTGCAAATATATATAAGGGTCTTAGTGTGTTTGTTGGTTTTCATTATTGTATACGCTTAAGAAATAATTTATGATTAACTTATATCTAACCGCTTTTCGAATACTGCTTAGAGAAAGGGGTTCATTATACTGGAAGGTCAACGTAATAGCTAAAATAGAAGACTTTCAAATTAGAATTTGACTTTCCTTACTCGTAAGTATCAACGCCAACTACTGTTAATTCAAATTAACAATTTGAGCTTAAAAATTTTGAAAGTGTCCCACATTTACATATCGTATAGTATAAAATTGCTTTACAATGGTTTATTAAAGAGGGTATTCAAAAGAAGAGCCGATAGTACGTCATTCGTCCAGTATAATAAACCCGAACGAGCAGCGGGCGCAGGAGTTATGCGTCGGCTCGTTTCTAACACGAATCAGTTGCAAACAAGAAGCATCGTCATTGATGTTGATTGATCGATTGCGACGGCGGAAGAGGGAAAGATGGCGGGATCATGGTTGTAATGGCCATGGTGCTTAGCAGTAGAACAAGTTGCAACCCACAAACTGCGCTTTGTACCCGAGCTTGGTAACAAGTTCGGGCTTGCACTCAGGCTCCAAGAGCTCATCTAATCCGTTGAGCTGATGGAGCGTGGGTGTCCAAGTTGCAGTCTGGGCCTGTGCTCGTTTCTTTTGCTGCTGCGTCCTCTTGATAACCTGAGATCAGAACTCTTGCGGATATTTAATACACTCGGAATTGGTGGAGGCCACTGCCGCGGCGGAGGCAAACAGCGAGTTAGGACCATTTCCGGAGAGACCAGTGCTGCTGCCTCCGCTGCTGCCTGGACCACCTCCGCCCAATACAGCTGCGGAAGCATCCTGAGTACTCTGAGACTGGTAGCCGCCGGCCACGCTAGCCGCTGTCGCCGCCTGATATGGTTCTTGATACAACTGATTGAGTCTCTAACCACTACCCGAAAAGTGCCACGCGTCCTATGCGCTCAGATGTGCGAACTGTGACGGATGGATATCGAACTGGTGGTAGGGATGACCGTAGGGGCCCATATGGTAGGGCACGATGTTCATGGAAGCCATCTTGTGCTCCTTTTTCCACTTCATGCGCCGGTTCTGAAACCAAATCTTGATCTGGCGCTCCGTCAAGCAAAGCGCGTGTGCGATTTCGATGCGTCGCCGGCGCGTCAGGTATCGATTGAAATGGAATTCTTTCTCTAGTTCTAAAGTTTGATAGCGGGTGTATGAGGTCCGTTGTCGCTTCGTTTCGCCATTGGCATTAACAGTACCTGCAATAGAAAAATGATATTTGAACGATTTGTATTAAACTCACTGCAAATTATGAAATATAAATAAAAATAATCTTAAATCTGTATTAATTTCCATTGATTATACTCTGTACATGAAATGTACAAGAGTATATTAGGTTTGCGGGAGGTGAAAAATGTAACAGGCAGAAGGAGGCGTGGCAGACCCCACAAAATATAGATATTCTTGATCAGCAAGACAAGACGAGTCGATCTATGTCTGTCTATCCATCTGTCCGTTCGTATGAACACCTGGATCTCAGAGACTATAAGAAATAGAGACACCAAATTTTGCACAAAGATGCCTTATGTGTGTACGCTATACGAGTTTTTTTTATTTTTTATACCCTGTACCCGTAGGGTAAAAAGGGTATATTAGGTTTGTGCAAAGTATGTAACATGCAGAAGGAAGCATCTCCGACCCCATAAAGTATATATATTCTGAATCAGCATGACGAGAGAAATCGATCTAGATTCCGTCCGTCCGTCTGTCTGGATGAACGCAAGGATCTCAGAAACTATAAAAGCTGGAACAACCAAAGTTGGTATCCAGATTCTCCTAGGTCAGAGAAAGGGCGAGTTTTTTCTTTTAATTTTCCCCCCTTCCCCCGCTACAGAATTTCGTCAATAGCGTCCACATTTCAAAAGCTACCTAAACCATAATTTACACATAATTTATTTATAATTATCTACTGTTGTTTTAAATTTAATTCGGTCAATTCTAAGAAAAATTATTAGCGAAACAACTTCTTGCCAGTACAACCCCCCCAAACTGCAGCAACAAGTTCTCTCTTCTTCTTCCTCTTTTTGCTTCAGCTTGCTCGACTGTAGCGTTCTCTCTTGTTTTTATACTATAAACTGTAAAAAGGGTATATTAGGTTTGTGCATGTAACAGGCAGAAGGAAGCATCTCTGATCTCATAAAGTATATATATTCTTAATTAGCACTACGAGAAAACCCGATATAGACATGACCGTCTGTCTGTCTGGATGAACGCCTGGATTTGGGAAATGGCGGGGCGCACAATAACCAAACTTAGTATGTAGACGCTTCTAGTCTTTTTATTTTTATTTTCCTTCCCATCTCTCCCACTACAGTTTTGTCAATACTGTGCACACTTAAAAAGCAACATTAACCAAACAACCAATCTATATACAATTGTATACTTTTGTTTTAAATTTAATCCAAATCGGTCGATGTTAAGAAAAGTTATTAGCGAAAAAACTTCACTTCAGTACAGCAGCATCAATTTCGCTTTTCTTCTTTTTGCTAGAGGCACATATGTATAATTCAGTGTTGGAAGTTTGTCTAGGTACAGGGTATTTTACTGTCGGGCTTGCTCGACTGTAGAATTCTCACTTGTTTAAATTAATATTTAATTTTTATACTCTGTACATGAAATGTACAAGACTATATTAGGTTTGCGTGGCAGACCCCATAAAGTATATATATTCTTGATCAGCGAACAAGATCAGTCTGTCGGTATGAACACCAAATTTTGCATAAAGATGCCTTATGTGTGTACGCTGTGCAAGTTTGTTTTTTTTTTTTGATTTTCCTACGCTCCCCCGATAGTGGAGATTTTCCGTAACGCTGTTCGTATAATCACCAATATCTCGGAGACCTACGGACACCAAATTTTATTCCAAGATGCATTATGTGAATACGCAGAAAATGTGTATTTTGGAAATTCCTTCCCTCCCTCCTCCGCCCGTAATTCGCGATTTTCCATAACTGTCGTAATTCGTGGAATTTCGAATTCAAATTTGGCAGATACCTCCAGATACTGAGAGCGTATGTTAAGTTTCATTCTGATAGTCCGGTTTTAAAGGAAGTTATATCCATAAATATAATCTCTGCCCAAGCGCTGCCCGCAGATTAGGTTCAACTTTATACTGAATACATGGTCGCACACAGAAACGCATAGATATGCATAGATTCACATAGACACAATTCCACTTAAATGATCTTCATTTTTTTTAATTATCTAGATTTTTTAAATTTTCTTTAATTATTCTACATATATGTACAGGGTATTTCAAAGACGAGACACCCGACTTTAGCTTATCCTCTTGATTTTAAACTCAAAACTAGTGAACAGCTAAAGCTGGAAACTTGCCGGTATGGCAAAGCAAAGGTCCAAGTTCCAAGTCGTTTACTTACAAAAATGGCAGACTGCTTTTGGCTCGCACTGAATTTAAGCGAAATGGTACAAAAGCGAACTGCACAGTCTGATCTCTGTTTTCTAAGTAAGTTTATTACCTAAGTTGACTGCTTATGCTTACTCCCATGCGCATGTGGATCGCATTGAAAGAGAGCACAGGAGAGCAAGCATGGAACTAACAGCTGTTAGCAAACGTGGCATGTAAATTACAATGTACGTGTATATATGTACATATATTCAACTCAACAATTCAATTACTTAAACTAAACTTCAATATTTCTTAGTGACTAATTAAATGTAGTTTTTTATGCATACCATACAACTAGCTATAATATTAGTGAAGTGTATAGTAGAGCTACCTTCTGGTGGTTTAGTCCCCTACATGGACTGTTGTCCATGGTAATTGCAAAAAGCTATAACATAATTTTATTCGGTGGGTGGTGTTTTAAATATTGAAAGCTTCAAGCCATTACAGTTAAAAAATAATGAACAAAATTTAAATTACCATAAATATATATAAGAAAAGAAAACGCCCCCTTCTGTTTTAGATTTGTTTTTTTCCATTCCAATGTCAGGCGGGCGATTCAACTGAATTATATAAGAAGTAGAGAAGCTAAGGTCGGGTGTCCCGACCTTGAAATACTCTGTGCATATGTGTTAAATATTTATAGAAACTAAAAAAATTAGGATTTTACCTTCCTTCGTATTTGAACTCACGTTAAGCGTGTATAATTGCATACTTATGTATGCATATTATGAATGCATATAAATTCTAAAATTCCCATTTTCTGCGTATTCACATAAGACATCTAAAATTTTGTGTCCCTAGACCTTTTAGGCTCTGAGAGTGGGGGGAAAATCAAAACATAAAACAAACTTGCACACGTACACATATAAGGCAAAATATGGAGTCTCTAGCTTTTATAGTCTCTGAGATCCACGTGTTCATACGGACAGGCAGACAGACAGACGGACGGACGGACAGACAGACATAGATCGACTCGTCTTGTCATGCTGATCAATAATGTATATACTTTGTGGGGTCTGCCACACCTCCTTCTGCCTGTTACATTTTTCTGCTCCCGCAAACGTAGTATACTCTTGTACATTTCATGCACAGAGTATAAACACACCACGTTTTATGACTTTTCAAAAGTCTTTTTTGCTACAGAAGTACCATTGCAGAGGGTAAACCACTCAGATACTTTTTGGCAAGTGGCAGCAAACAATACAAGAAAAGTAGTATGGAGGGTGACAACTTCTCCTCTGACATTTCTTTTCTAATAGCAATAACTTCGATTTCTTTGCCTAAACTGCAGTTAGGCACGTCATTTTTATGAAATGCGCAACCGCCAAGAAAACACATTATGAATGAGAAAATTACCTTCACCCCAAGTTTGCAGTTAGACGTCGTACTGTCCACTTAAGCGTGCTCGATTGCTTAGAAACGCCTAGAATCGTCGGAGGGAAAGGTGTTTTATGAGTGTGGGCTTAAGCATTTAAAGGGACACGAAGACTCTGGCTTAACTAAGTGCTAATAGGACAATATATTAATGACATTATAGTAAATGAATATTACAGTTTATAGACAGCCCCTATCGAGATGGTTAACATGTAAATAGATACGTAATTTCAGAATTTGCATGAAGATTTTAAAGATGATGTCCATACCGCCATTTATCGCGGGGTATTTGAATTTTAACCGCACAGTTTTTTATTTTCCATTTGATTTTACTTCCAATAAGTTAGTGGCTATTTTCAGGGGGTCCGTAAGATATTTTATTCTTTTCTATTTGTAATTTCCAAAAACTGTTTAATTTTCTGTGTATTATTGGATGAAATGAAAAATCGTAATCAATTTCTAATTCGATCGGATCGATGAAATTTGGTATGTACTACAGAAAAGTGGAACATACACAAGTAACTATTTATACCCTGTACATGAAATGTACAAGACTACTATATATTAGGTTTGCGGTAGCTGAAGGAGCCATGGCAGACCCCACAAAGTATATGTATTCCTTATCAGCATGACAAGACGAGTCGATCTATGTCTGTCTGTCCGTCTGACCGTCCGTCCGTCCGTATAACCGTCTCAGAGACTATAAAAGATAGAGACACCAAATTTTGTACAAAGATGCCTTATGTGTGTACGCTATACGAGATTGTTTTTTTTTTTCCCCCCACTTCCCCCTTATCAGGGATTTTCGGAAACGCCGTTCGTATAATCACCTATATCTCGGACACTATAAGACCTAGGAGAACCAAATTTTAGTCCAAGATGCCTTTTGTGAATACGCAGAAAATGTGAATTTTGGTATTTCCTTCCACCCCCCTCTCCTCCGCAAATTGCGATTTTCTCTAACTCCCATAATTCATGGAATTTCGAACTAAAATTTTGCACTATAATATACCGATTTAACAAGAAGTTTTAGCCATAAATATATTTGCTGCTGCAGCGCTGCTCAAGCGCTGCCCGCGGCTGTTGTTGATGTTGCTGTTTAGTTGACTGCTAACATGTTTACACAGACACGAATAGATGCGCATAGGCATACATACACTCACACAGACGCAATTGCTATGTAAATGTGCAATTATACACCATTTACGTGAGTTCGAATACCGAGAAAGGTAAAATCGATCAAAATTTTTTTTTTTTAATTTTCTTAATTTTTTTATTTTCTATAATTATTGTAAACATATGTACAGAGTATTTCAAAGTCGGGACACCCTTTAGCTTTTTTACTTGTTTTTTTTTTTAATTTTCTTTATTTTGTTTAATTTCTATAATTATTCTAAACATATGTACAGAGTATTT